ACCAGCAGCCAGCATGTCCCCTGCTGGATTCTCAGCAAAGCGAGCCTGTTCTGAACCTGCAGGGCTTGCCTTCATTTTTATGAAGAGGCTGCCATCTGCTGACCAATTTAAGAAAAGCGCAGGAGGGAAATAAGTCTTCTAAACTTAAACTCAATCTGCGTTATGCAGATGACACAACCCTGCTTGCTGAAACTGAGGAGGTCCTGAAGTGCTTGCTGCAGAGGATCAGGGACTTCAGCCTCCAATATGGATTAAGGCTCAATATCAAGAAGACAAAAATTCTCACCACTGGGCCAATTGGCAGCATCATGATAGATGGTGAAGAGATTGAGATTGTTAAGTTTTAGTTTGCATGGCACCACAGTCAACACTATTGGCACCAGCACCCAGGAAATTAAAAGACGTATTGCGATGGCAAAGTCTGTTGTTAGAGACCTCTCCAAAGTACTAAAGAGCAACAATGTCAGTCTGGAGACTAAGGTGCACCTGATACAGGCCGTGGTCTTTGCAATCACTTGATATGCAGCAGAGAACTGGACAATGACTAGGGAGGATAGGAGACTTGATGTCTTTGACCTGTGACGTTGGAGAAAAATATTGAGTATACAGCGGACTGCTAAGTAAACAAACAAGTTCGTCCAAGAGAGGGTTAAACCAGGCTGCTCCTTGGAGGCAAGGATTTTGAATCTTCATCTGACATACATTGAACTTGTTACCAGGAGGGAGCAATCCTTGGAGAAGGATGTCATGCTTGGGAGGGTGGAGGGACAATGCAAGAGAGGAAGACCCTCTATGAGATGGATTGGTCCAGTGACTGGGGTAATGGAGGTGAGTGTGTTGGAGTCACTAAGATTGACACAGGCTAGAGCAGGGTTTAGGGCTGTTTTACACAGGATCGCTATAAGTTGCAGTTGACTCGAAGGCATATAACAACAACAAACTCAAACTCACTGCCTTAGAGTTGGAAAGGAAGGAGTTGCACTGCCAGTCCAAAGTCAAGTGGTTCATTCCACCAGGCGCTCCACAGAGGAAGATAGGCAGTCTCCTCCTGTGTAATTTATAGCCTCTGAAAACCTTGATGGAGGGTCAGCTATGAGTTGGCTCCAATTTGATGACACATGACAACAGCATTGGGTGTCGGGCTGTAAATCACATGGGAAGAGATTGTTGTCTTTGTCCCTCCATTTGTGAACTTCCAAAAAGGATGTCAGGTTCGCAGTGCAACTCCATAAGGTCTAAGCCACCAGTTGTTGTTGTTGTTGTTGTTGTTGTTGTTGTTGGGACCATTGAGTCGGAGAACCAACCCCTTTGTACTAGAGAAGGACATTTGGAAACAGTATTCATAAAGTGTACAGTGTTTTCTCACATCTGAATCTTACCCTCATGGGATAAAGCAGTGCCGAGAGAAAGCAAGTAGAGTCACTGTCAATTTTCAGATGAGTGGCTGTGTGGCTTACAGTGAAACCAAACCACAAATTTGAACATACTCACATATTTGGGGCATGTTTAATGTAATATACACATGTGCTCCTAGAAGCAGAGTGAAAAGAATGCTCTTCTGTATTTACCTGTCTCTTTCAAACAACAGAGGCAGCCCTGGACGTGCTCATCAGTCTATGCCAGGAAATTTGAAAGTTGCCTGGCCAACTGACTAGAAGAGATTCATGTTTGTTCCCATTCCCAAAAAAGGTGATCCAACCTATGGAAATTAACTAACAGAACCATTAATATAAGACGTAAGCAAAATATTGCTGAGGATCATTCAAAAATGGCTAAAATAGTACAGAGACAGAGAACTGTTCAGGCTGGATTTAGGACACATGGCACACTAGGAACGTCATTGCTGAGGCCAGATGGATTCCAGCTGAAAGCAAAACATACCAGAAGAATGTCTATTTATACATTATTAACTAGGCAAATGCATTTGATTGTGTGGATAATAATAAATTATTATTAACTTTGAAAAGAATGAGAATTTCAGAACACTTAATTGTCCTTGTGTGAAACTAGACCAAGAGGCAGCTGTATGAACAAAGCAAGGGAACACTGCATCGCTTAAAATTCAGAAAGGTGTGTGCCAGGGTTGTATGTGTCCTTTCTCCATACCTATTTAATCTGCATGCTGAGCAAATTTTTCAAGAAGCTGGACTCTGTGAAGAAAAATATGGCATCAGGATTGGAGGAAGACCCATCAATAACCTTCATTATGTGGATAACACAACCGAGGAGTGGAAGCACTTGATGCAGAAGGTTTAACACAGCAGCCTTCAATATGGATTGCCTCACAATTTCAAGAAAACAAAAAAATTTGTCCCAGGACCGATAGGCAACATCATGAAGGATGGAGAAAGCATTGATACTGTCAACTTCATTTTACTTGGGACCCCAATCAATACACTTGGTACCAGCAGTCAAGAGATCAGGAAATATATTTCACTGGGAAAGTCTATTGTCAGATACCTCTCAAAAGTATTGAGGAATAATATGTCAGTTTCAGGACTTAGGTGGGCATAATTTGGGCCAAGGCCTTTTCATTCACTTGCTATGCATCTGAGAGCTGGACAGGAAGAATTGATGCCTTTGAACTGTGGTGTTGGAAAAGAATGCTGACGATTCCATGGACTGTCCAAAGAACAAATAGGTATGTCTTAAGAGAAGGTGCAACCAGAATTCTGCTTGGAGGCAAAGATGATGAAAATTCATCTCATATAATCTGGGCATATTTCTAGGAGTGTTATTCGTTGGAGAGGGCCATCATGCTTGGGAAGGTGGAGGGACGGTGAAAGGGAGGAAGACCCTCTACCAGGTGGGTTGACAAGATGACTGGGTGAAATTGGCTTGAATGTGTCAGGGATTATGAGTATGACACAAGATAGGACAGGACCCAGATCAATTGTCTATAGGGTTTTGATGAGTCATGCTCAATTCAATGGCACTTAACAACAACATAACCATGTGGAGATTTCTCTAGTGTTCCTGTGTGTGTTGTTACCTTCAACAAATGATGTTTATTTTCAGGTATCACATTGTGCTGTAGTGAGTTATTCAGAACAGCTTTTCTAGCCATTGACTTTTCAGTTTCTGTAAGTGGCTGCGTAGGATCATGCAAATGTGAGGTGTTAGTGGCTCAACAAGGAGATACTGTCAATGATAGATGGGATCTTGTAAATAAGATGTGTAGAATCCTGACAGGGGGATTTGTCCGTTTTATCATCCTGCCAGGTTTCCACTGAGCCGGCCCATAGGTAGAAAGTAAGAGTCCCATGCCATTAAGAAGCAAGAACCAGCTAGTACTACATGTCTTTTTGACCTGAGATTCCTGAACAAACCAGAGAGAGACAGAGAGACAAAACAGTGGTAAAGACCGAGACAGACGTGGTCCTTGCGGTGGAGAATGTGAAACTAGTGTGAGGCAGAATCGTGGGCTCCCACCCCTCAGAGGACAAAAGCTGAGTACTCGCTAGTGAAGTGGGTGCCTTTGGGCTCTTGACCTAGGACAAAGGTCCACTGACCCATGGAGCTACAGCCAAGCACCTTTGAGCCCAGTCTTGCTGGCATAGAGAAGGTGGCACTTAAATGGCAGTTAAAGGAGTTTTCTAACACTTGTCTGAACAGGGAAGAGTCAAATACCATAAGATGGAGGATTAGAAAAGGGGGCCTGCCTTCAAGCATACTTGTGAAGAGACAGACTTCATTGTGGAATTGCCCCTAGAGTTTCAAGAAAACAAGAATCCTTGCCAGAGGACCAATAGGCAACATCATGATGGGTGGAGAAAGGATTGAGACTGTCAACAACTTCATCCTACTTGGAACCACAATCAATACACTTGGTACCAGCAGTGTGTTCCTGAATCTGAATTGGAATCTGCTACTTTCTTAATAAACCATATCTTTATGAATTTTATCTTTGAGTTCTGGGTTATCATTACAAAGAATTCTTGAATGACTAGAGAAGTAAACAGAATTATGGGAGGAATAGTTGGTGTTCAAATTGCAGGAGAGGGGTGGGGGTGGGAGGGATACGAATCGCCTTTGTCCTGTTGACACTACTTATGGGAATTTTTCCCTTCTGTGAAATTACTGGAGGTCAGATGTTGCTGACATGTTTGCCACACAGTTTTTACACAGATTAAATCCATCTAGGTTTTTAATCTGTAAACAAACATAGTATACATCTACTGTTTAGGGCTTATCTATCTTCTACATCAATTCTTCCTTCATCTAGTGAAAGCACAACCAATTTTATTTTGGAGAAGCAGCACCTCTGTTGTCAGTCCAGGTGATTCAGGGCATCTGACTGGAGGCCCAGTTGTTGGCATACGACTTAGATCTAATAAATCACTGGTTCCAATAGCCTAGTTCATGAAGAGTTCAGAGATAAGCACATGACCCAAGTCAACACAGTAAGATTTAACCACGGAACTTTTGCTAAGGATGTTGGGGAAGGAGTGAGAAAAGGGGAAGAAATAAACAGGGGTAGAACTCAGAGAAACAGGGTCCAAAGGTAGACATCTTTTTAAAAAAATTCTGGCATCTAACCACGAATATTTTTAGGACCTTTCAGTTCTATAAGCTTCTAAAGCCCTTTATCCAGAAATCAGTTTGAGAGTGATTTCTTACTGAGCAAGTACTACGTAATATAGAAAGCATAATAAAGAAGGTTGACTTTTTTATCAGTTTTATTTTTTACAAAGTCATTCTTGATACTTGTACCAAAGAGCAGAAAATAATAACAAGATTTTACACTATCGTGAAATTATTCCACTTATAAGTAGAGAGAGGAGACAAATGAGGATTTAACTCAATGGTCTCAAATGAGGCTGGGGTGCCAAGGTTTGGGGGTCATAGCACACCCTATTCCACAGTCTAGTCCTTCAATCTTCATTCTAACCCCTCACAAGTACACTTCACCACATTGCAGCCTGAATTCCAGGAGAAGTGGCCATCTCTTGACAAGAAGACCTCACACTGCACCAACCTCATGCAGCTTCCACTCCTTCTTATCTCGGTAAATTGCTAGCGGTAGCCAGCAGGGCTGCAAACATTGACCCAGGCTTGTTCTGTAAGACCTCAGGCTTGTCAAACTCCATGACCTACGGGGTAGATAAAGGAGCAGAGGGTGCAGGACATGGCTGAACTCAGTCTTGAAGTATCTGAAGATACCCTGTAGCAACAGCTGCACACTACCCCTCCCCGCCAAGCCAGGAGCAGCTCTCACCTTGCCGTTGTCCATGACAAGGATACGGTCACAGTTGAGGACCGTGAGGAGACGGTGTGCAATGACCAGCACTGTGCAGTCCCGGAAGGCCTCCCTGATGGTGTGCTGAATCAGTGTGTCCATCTCCAGGTCGATGGAGGCTGTGGCTTCATCAATAAGGATGATCTGATGCATGTAAAACACATGTGACGGTGGTCTCAGATCCTACAGATCTGTGCCTCGCCTGGTTCTACCAATAATAACTCTCTATAAAACTTCAGTTCCCTTAACTCTGAAGTGTGAGAACTGGACCAAGTTCAAAACCCACTTGAAGATCTAATTATCTACTACACTATGAAGAGAATACTAGGGATTCAACCAAGAACTGTGGACAGAGAACTCTCTCTCATTGTCATCAGGTTGAAACCGACTCATTGCTGACCTTCCAGAGAGTTTCCAAGGCTGTAAATCACATGGGAGGGAACTGCCCATCTTTCTCCTGTGGCATCACTGATGATTCGAACCACCAGAGAGAAGAGGTCTTTGTATAGTAATATAATTCCTTGCTAACTATCCCACTAGAACTACTTGAACAGAGAACTAAGTTCCAGGAAATTAAAATGTCCCAGTAGCAATGTCTCATCTTATTAGCTAACTGCCGTCCTGTTTGCCTGAACGAACACAGAGCTACGTTCCCCAAAGAGTGGTATGTGCATTTCCTAACTCATAGGAGATGATAATAGGTAGTCAATACATACAGATTCTTTTCACTTTAACATATATTTGTATTTATTTCATTAATCGTATGTATTAGGAAAAAATAATACAAATTATTAGAAAAAATTATCACTGGTGTCTAAAGTATGATTTCATAGATATTATCAAGATGAGGCAGTTTCATAAAAAGGTATCTTTAGTAAATCATGGTGCTTCCAAGGGTACAAACCTTTAATAACCTCAGTTACTACCTGAAATAAGGGGTTCAAGTCCCCCCTGAGGAGCCTAGCAATCTACTTTGGGAAAATTCAATTCACTAAGATGCATATAGAGCCCAGGTCTACTCTGACACAGATGAGGTCTTCATGAGTCAAGCCTGCTTGATGGCAACTGAGTTGGTTTCTCAACAAATCGTTGGAGAGCGGTACACAAGGCAATGACTTAAAATTGGGAAATACTATAAAATTACTTAAAATTACAAGGTGATAACTTAAAATTGGGAAATACTGTAGAGGAATCCATCTCAGCAGCAAAACGAATGTAGTAAGTAGGTCCATGGTGCCTGTTGCAAATTTTGTTGCTTATCTTGCTGAAGGGAGAGGATCCCTACCTCCTCTGACAGCTTCTCCCTTCTGCAGGCCTGACTGAATTCGGCCTTCACTTTTCACTCAATACTAACAGGAAGTACTAATTGCTTTTAAATCTATAATTGTTCAACCACATTGTATGTACTTGTAGGCATGTACATGTGTCCTGATGGACATCCATGAGAGTGTGGAGAAGATGCACATGTGTAAAGAGGTGTGTGTGTGTGTGTGTGTGTGTGTGTGTGTGGTGTGTGTACATGCAGACATGTGCCTACACTGCCTTACTTGTATGATGGAACATTTGTTTCAAAGTAGCTTTGGTAACTCATCAATCACATTGCAGGAGAAAGACAATCGCGTCCCACACAATTTAGGGCTTGGGAAGCCCAACAGAGGGTCATGAAGGTTCCAACTCGATACCAACAGGATGACTAAATGAGATGGTCAACATACTCGAAATTACTGACAAAGTACGTAGACTACTTCAAGGAGCACAGTTACACTAAACTTTTTTTAAACATGTATAATGTTTCTCTAGGTCAGCTGTCATCTGATTCTCACTTCCAATAGCAACAAAAGGCATCAAAATAGTAACACAAATGTCCCATAGATAACTTTTCCACCCAGTAGATAACTTTTAAAGTAATACATTTCAATCCTTTTGCTTTTTCCTAAGGAAAGGAGCATCATAATTTGGTTTTAATTGTGAAACATTTCAGTTGTACGATATCACAGTTCCACAGAGCCCAGCTTGAGGGTCTCCACCGACACCCTAAATTCAGGTGCAAAGGTATTCAATAAAATTTCTAAGTCCTTTGCATTTTTTTTTTTTCAGAAAAGAGCACAAGGTCCACACTCCGGTGACAATAGAGGAAGAAACAGCTGTTGGCTCCCAGGTGAATCATCTGGGACTTGATGGTCTCACCTTGGAGTTTTGAAGGAGGGCCCGGGTGACACACAGCAGCTGCCTCTCCCCAACAGAGAAGTTTTCACCATTCTCCACAACTTCAGCATACAGTCTCTTTGGAAACTTTGAGATCTGAGGGGAGAAGAGACACCACGTTGGCCACTGTGGACAGTTAGGTGCTGATACTGCTAAGACCTGTCCTGTCACTGTCTCACCACTACTCTGCTCCTTAACTGTGTCCAACTCACCCCCACCGAGGGCCCTATGCTATAAACTTCTTCTCCCCATAACGTTCTCTCAAAAATCTTCACCTGCCTTGCTTTTCAACTATTGGTCTTAGCTAGCTATTAACTATTTACTATTGGTCTAATGTTATAAAGGTGGGGAGATTCTTGCTGTTGTTATTAGGTACCATCAAGTCAACTGCGACCCTACTAACAACAGATGTGAAGCCCTACCCTGTCCCATCCTCATCATCTTTTATGTCCTTGAGTCCATTGATACAGTCAGTCACTGTGTCTGTTCATCTCATTCAAAATCTTCTCTGACCCTCCATCTTTCCAAATATGATTCTTTTTTTTCCCAAGGACTGCGTTCTCCTTAAAACACACTCAAAATATGTGAGACCAACTTTCTGCATCCTTGTCTCTAAGGACTATTCTAATTGCTAAGAGCGGAGCGCATCATTTTGGACCTGAGTTTCTGTGAATGGAAGCTCCTTGCCCTAGGGGAAGTCCAGAACCAAGACAATCTCCAAGGAACACTGGACCTACAGATACCTAAGGAAAGAAAAGCTTTCTCCCACCAACAACACAAAGAGGGCCTTCCCCTAAGGTTGCCCGACTCCCCCTGAAGTTGAACTGTTAGCCTCTTAAATTATGAGAAGCTATGTCCTTGTATTAAAACAAACAAACAAACAAACAAACAAAAAGAGGAGTATCCCAGTCACTTGATCTGAAGGGGCTGATACCTGCTGAAGTAGCTGTTGGCTCCACTACCCTCTCTTGCAGCTCTAATGACCATTTGGCAATATCTCAGGGATTAATCTCATTCTGCTCTTGTCTCCTGTTGCATGTAATCATCAAGAAAGTGAAGGAAAGAAGAAAGGAAGTAAGGGAAGGAGGGAAGGAGGGAGGGAGGAAGGAAGGGAGGAAGGGAAAGAGAGAAGAGAAAAGAA